CCCGCATGTGTGCAAAGGTTTCCTGTGCTCAAAAATCAGACGATCAACACTTGTGAGCAATTTGTTCTCTGGCAGAGAACAGATATAAGCAGAAAACAGTTCTGGATATTGAATGAGCACCAAAGAGCATCGAATATCACACTGAAATAGAAATAAAAGTAAATATTTTACAGTGGACCTATGTTTCTAATGCCAATAAAATAATATATGAAAAGAAGGCAACAGACTTCCTAATCCTGAGGATACAAGGTGAGAAAGTGGAAGAAATAAAGTGTTAGGAAAGTGAGCGTGCAGAAATGGGACCCCCGGGGAAAGACAATTTGGCTCAGCGCTTGTAGAAAACAATTCGGCAGCATGTCAATCTGCACACTGTTCGGCATGTTCACTGTGGCACTGTCGATAACCAAAGAACTAAAAACATCAGAAGTAGTCCAACAGAACTGCCTGATTCTAAAACCCTTGTATTTCACTGTGCAATCATGTTCTTGCTGATATAAAAAGAACACCATCTTATATTCTAAAGCGGAAAGGTTGGTTAAAAACATTATAGTAATCTCTTCTTTGTATTTTGTTTTTTAAAATGTGTGTGTCAATGCCAAAACTACTGAACAGATTTTGCTTTCAGATGTTGTATTAATTCATTATCTATTGTTGTGCAACAAATTATCTCCAAATTTAGCATCTGAAAAAACTAACTTTTATTCTCTGACATGGTTTCTGGGGGTTAGGAATCTGGGCATGTCTTGATCGGGTGCTTCTGGCTCAGGCTCTGTCGCGAGGTGGCAGTCGAGTTATCGACTGCTGCAGTCCTTGTCATCTCCGAAGGCATGAATAGGGCTGGAGGAAACGCTCCCATGCTCATTCAGACAGGTTTTGGCAAGAAGACTCAGTTCCTGGCTATGTGGGCTGCTCATGACACTTCCCCCAAGTGAGGGCAGGGAGGGAGAAAGTGAGGAAGGGAGGGAAGGGAGGGAAGGGGGAAGGAGAGAGGGAGGAAGGGAAAGACTAAGACAGAAGCCACAGTGTCTTTATAACACAGTCTCAGAAAAGACACACCATCCCTTCTGCTGTATTCTGTTGGTTACACAGATCAGCCCCAGTACAGCATGGGGACTATATAAGGGTGTGACTCCTGGAGGCAGGGTCACTGAAGGCCACCTTGGACTTGCCTATCATAGCCCATCCTCACTCTTTCCCGAGGCCCACACATGTCTCATCCCGTTACAGTACTAGTTAAAATTCCAGAATCCCATCATCTAAATCCAGTCTAGGTGCAGATAAGGTTCCTCAGATGTCACTCCTTAAGTACAGTTCCTCTAGATTTGCAGGTTGCTGACCAGTCATCTCTCCCAGAACCAGCCCACATACAAAAATGGGGTAAGGATAAGATAACCACCACACATACACTTGCTCAAAAAGGAAGAAACTGGGAGGAATGCAGGGCCCAGTGGTCCCCAGAAATTCTGAAATCCAGCTGAACAAAGCTCAGAAGTTCCTTGACCTGGCTGTCCTACTGCACTGTTTTCATTGGCCACAGCTCTTAGGCCCGTCCTCTGGGCTCTTGGCTCTTCTCTCCTGGACTTCCAGCCTCCAGAACTATGAGAATATAAAGCCCTATTGGTTAAGTCCCTCATCTCTGGTATTGTGCTATGGCAGCCCAAGCAGACTAATGCATTGATCTTCTGAAAGATATCTGAAAACCTCTTGCTGTTGCCCAATTCAAGTTTAGTCTTCTTTTGAAAAATCATTCTGATGCACAGAACTACACGCCAATGCGTATAATTAGATTTGTTTCTATACAAAATGGGTATGATTAGCTTTGTTTCTAGTCTAATCTGTGGGTCTATGCTTTCACTAGAACTAAAACCTTTCATTTCATGTTAGCCCCCGTTTCAGATCTAACCCTCCAACTTGTAGAGGTAGAAGCTGGAGGGAGCTATAACTGCAGGATAGAGGTGACAGAAGATGCCTCTCATGGCTTACTGCGGACTGAATTTAGGGATCATATTGTAATGGAAAAGTTGTGTTCAAGGAATCACCAGATCAGTGCATTTCAAGATCAGATCATTACTCTTCCAGGGCCAGGGAGCAGAGACTTGCACTTAGATGAATTACAGAAGAGACAAAGGGGATGTCACAATGACCAGGAGATGGATTTCAGAAAGCAATCCCGGGAGGAATTCTCAAACCAAGGAGCAAGTGGCAGTGGGAACTCTGCAACTGCCTCCCAGCCTCCATGCAGGTCCACCAGGCGCAGCAGGGGAGGGTAGCCAAGGCCTCCAAGAACATGCTTTCTAACTCCCTCGTTGCTCTGCCTCTGATTACACAAACTTATGGACGCTTCTTTATCTCTTCTGTGTCTTTGGTAGTGATTTGCATAACAACCATCCTGTGCTAAGTACCCGAGTTAACTTGCCATTTAATGAAACATATCGGTTAACCTATGTTCCTCTGATGATCAAAGTCAGAGCAAAACAATGACTTTTGCCTACCCTGCAATTAAAGTAAGACGCTGACCATGTTTTTACTTTGCTTTGGCTTTTGTCTGACCTTAAAATATATTACAAACCCAATCTATTAGATAAACAAGTAGTCAAGGTCTTTTTTAAAATTCATGGTTTTTCACGCAAAAGACATTTTTAGTCTCTGAACTCTGTACCTATATTTTAAAAACACATACATATTGATTGGCTTCACAGAGACCCCCAATCCTTTTATATCTCGACTTCCTTATTTTTAAGTTATTAATTTTGGCTTTTTGAAAAGAGATTTTTCTTTTTTTATTGGTTTTTGGAGAGAGGGAGAAAGGAAAAGACAGAGAAAAAGAGAGAAACACCAGTGTGAGAGGGAAACATCAATCAGTTGCCTCCGTACCCGCCCCAACCGGGGATCAAGCCCGCCACCTTTTTGTGTATGGGACACTGATCCAACCAACTGAGCCACACCGGCCAGGATGAATTTTTTTTTTTTTTTT